TCGGTTGAAAAATGTAGGAAACCCGATCCAATATATAAACGTACACACACACACACACACACACACACACACACACACACAGAACCTGGGTTTTATAATAAGTATGATGTGGGAATCCATATGATAATTGCCTATTATTCTGCATATGAGATCATCAATACCAGGATGGGATTGGCTTTCAAATTCTAAGAACACGACATATTACTACACGGAATATATTCCAAACTACTTTACGGATTCCAAAATTGAGTTACTTTTCTCCTACCGGTTTACCGAGAGTATGGTGATTAAATACCGGTGCTTTGTCCAAGCAAACAGGTTATACGAGTTTAACGGGTTAATCTTTCCGATTTCGTAACAGTGACAATAACATCGAAATTAATTGCTCATTAATTCAAAATGTAATGTTTAAATATTTATAATTATAACCAAAAAATAAACATATCAATCTGATTCAACTTCGAAAATTCACTATCGCAACTAACAGACGCAAAACGAACGTAGGCACTCGTCAATGAATGAATACGTATTTCAGTGAATGAAAATGCATTTTAATGAATAGAACACGCAATTCTATAAAAGAACACGCATTTCAATGAATTTAAACGCAGTTCCCTGAATGAGCACACAACTTAATGAGTTTACACGTTATTCGCTTTTATTGCCTTTCGAGTCGTTCTTTTAAAAGAAATTAATGAAAAATATATCAACGTATTAACTAAGATGATATTAATTCCGCAGAGAGGCAGAACTGAAGAAATAAAAAAGAAAGACTGTGTTGCGCCAATATTTCAAGTAAAATCTAACATATTTTTTAATACTAAAAGCTATTAATGTTGATTAAGTACACTATTTACATTATTCGGACTATTGTCCTCATCTTTGTCGCCATATTTATTACAACATTTCGGCCGTTGTAGCTTCGGCCTTCTTTGTTTTTTTTTTACTCCAAATTACAATGTATCAAATATTAAATATAAATTAATTTTGTGATTACCATTACTCGGAATGTCGAACTGGACACTTTATTTCGCTCACTGGGGTAAACTGTTCTAGTTCCACGTGCCATGGATGTCATTTATCAGTTATCTCATGTTAATTCTCCTGTCCAAGTTCTCAAGGACACATGGCAAAGTGGATAAAGGCGTTGGTTAGATCCAGTGACAGGACCCAAAGAGTGACCCAAAGAGTTCAATATTCGGTTAAGGCAGTGGAGAACTTGGACAGGGGAATTAACAGGAGATAACTGACATCCATGGCCATTGAACTAGAACAGTTTACCCCACTGAGCGAAATAAAGGGTTCAGAACGACATTCCAAAAACTGACGAAGGCCGGAGCGTACAACGGCCGAAACGTTGTAATAAATATGGCGACAAAGATGAGGACAATAGTCCGAATAATGTAAATAGTGTACATAATACCTCATCTTAGAAATATAGACAGATGTTGATTTAGTGATATGCAATTTTGGGATCCATTCAACCCAGACAGTAAATATTATATTAAATAAATATTTAATAATTTCTTAATATAAAAAACGAGCTTAAAAATCTTATAGTAAAGTTTAATATCAATTTACACGATTCCTTTGTTTGCAGACGATCTCTTTATTAATATTCTATCACGTGACAGATGATGGATGGTTCCATCGATATTCATAGTTTTATTAAACTTTTAGATTTTCTAATATAGATTGCTTCATAGTCAAGTTTATTTTAAATGCTATGTGCCTTCATGATGCAGGCGATCATGAATTTCCACAGATTCCTTTAGTTAATTATCTGCCATGCATTCTTAGGAAAGTTTTTTTTTCTCGCACTGCACCGTTTCGAATTCAGAGTTTTCTTTCTTTTAGAGTGGTTACCACTGAAGGCTCGAGAGCCTAGTCTACTCCTGTATTTAATCCGTAGAGGTTGGTGAGAAGGGGGGCGGATTTCCCAAGGGCATAAAAAAGGGAACGAGCAGACTGATCTAGGATTTGAACTCGGTTCTACATTCAGCGTTGATACCCTAGTCGAGTAGCCATAGCGTATAAAATCATTTACCATGACATTTTTTTCATATATTACGTATAACCGAAGAATTTAGCTGTTTTTTGTTTAGCGGCATATCAACACCTCTATTTTTTCAGTTTTATTTATTTTATAGATAATAACGGTTTTAGTGATACAAGTTTTACTAATTAACCCATAGCTGGAGGAAGAAGAGGTGGATTCGTATTTTCCCAAGGGTATTTGCACGTGAGTGAATATAACGAACCCAATTGGAATTCGAACTCGGCTTTTCGATAACAATTCCAAGACATTATTCATCACACCACCCGCACATCTAAGCTTACAGCACCTAGTATTCCCAAGCTGTTACCCCTCTAGGTACTGGAGAAGCTCAACGCTGCTTAACTTCAGAAGAAAATAGAAGCTGCTGTAGAATTACTGTAAGGAAAATATGTGATCACAAAACCGTTGAAGAGAATTTTTCTTCGAGACTCAGAAGGGAGAAATCAGGAAGTTTTGGGAAATATTTTTGATTATCAGCGTCTTTTTTATATAATATTGTTTACCCAACACAAGGCTCAAGATTCCTTCAAGGTAGAGGTTTACTGAGTCAGCTTGTTTTAAGGTCAAGGAAGTAAAAAGTGCATATGTGGATATATAGGGAAGATAATTGGTGACCCTAGAGTTGAAAAGATTAGCATCCTCTCGTGAATCTGTTTCTAAAAAGTCCCAGTTCTTCCTTCTTACCAATCGAATACAAAGGGAATGAGGACGAATCGACCATGTGCATGTGGCATGAACATTTTCCATAGAAATAGCGATAGATTAGCAACTGGCTAGCAACGCTTCGTCTGCGGGAAAAGAGTTGTGTGGTGGACAATAATTACTCACCTACAAAGCCACGTAAACTCTTTTGAGCTTTGTCAAGACTGGAAAATGCGTACAGGACAACACCAGCCCAGATATGATAAGCGTAACTTAGTTGTGGCACAAGGCCGAACGTTTTGGACACCCAGTGAGGATAGAACTCACTACCCAGTTGTAATTGTTCTAGCGAGACCAGCTTGCTGACTATTACGCCACATCGAGATGTTCCATTAGCCCAGATATGGTAGCAATACTCCATTTTTGATCTGTCCTGATCTGGATCAGTACGAAGAACAATCGTTCCCGAATCTTTATCGATGGTTCGTATGTACTAGTTCCGCCTGAGGTCTACAGTGAGTTTTAGTCCCAGTAGACACTCCAGACAGGAAGCCTTAAGACTGGAGCAAATTTACGGTCTGCTCGGTGACGGTGAAACGTTACTAGCTTCGGTGGGTATTGAACAATACAAACCGCCCTTTCTCTCATTGAGCCGTGAAGTGAGTTGTGAAGGCTAAGTTAGTGGAGAGATCAAACAGAAAATTTTGATCATCTAGAGTTTTGGAGGTGCACCCATATACTGCGTTAACATCTACATAGATATTTACTAATGACCTGAGAATGTTCCTCGATAAATCATTAAATCAGCCATACCGGATATATCCTTTGATCTCATAGGCTTCAGAAACTTGACTTACTTGATGATTGCAAGGACTCTTCCAGAGTTTGTATGGCAAGCCCCTGTGCTATACCTTGACAAAGGCCTTTGAGATATCCAAAGTGATCACCTTCATGATGGATTTATTATCAAATACCGCATTGATTCTCTGTGTTATGACAAAACATCAGCAGTGGACCTAAAAGAGCGAAATCCATACTGTTTGTTTCTGTTGATGTGATATTCTTATTAAACATGGCCTCAAAGAACTTGCTAATGACACTAAGGAGGCTGATATCGATATCAATATTGAGACAGTGATGAGCACTTTCCCACATTCTTGAACACAAGGCAGACAGCTGACACCTTTCATAGACTTGGGAAACATTTCTCCTTCAGGCAGCAAGTGAACGAAGATTGGGCTATGGTTCTTAAGAACGCCCACTAGGATTTTATCCAGACCAGTAGCCTTCATAAAATAAGTGCTTTTGGCGTGTCTGGAAACTTCCTGCTGTCATGAGCTGTGAAGGCTAAGTTAGAGAAGAGCTCAAACTGCCAGGCTCTGGTCATCTAGAGTTTTCGAGGTGCACGCATACTCTGTGGCATCATCTGCATAGATATTTACCAATAACCTGGGCATGTTCTAAAGTGATCGCCCTTCTGATGGACTTATAAGCTAATGATCTGAAAATGTTCTTAAATTGGTCTTTAATATAAAGTATATAGAGTTTGGGTCCGAGAGTACAGACTTAGGGGATGCCTGTATTGTCTTGCATGAAATACTACTTAGGTTAGCGATTCTAATGTTTAGAGTCTGTTTTGTTTTTTTTTTTTTTTTTTGTTTGTTTGTTTTTTTACAGATGAGGATATCCTCTAAACCTTGAGGGTGTATTTCAGATAATATTTTATACCATAGCACATTAAAAATACAACTCGTTTACTTTAAATGTCAACATGTTAATGATGATAGTAATAGTAACAAAATTATGCAGTTGGTACCATGTTCATGTCTTACCAAACGCGTCATCTTTGTAGTCTTGTGACATACTAAAGCATGTTTGATAAAAATGCCGAAGGTGTGACAAAAAGAACCTATTACGAAAAATGTAAAAAATAGAGTTGGTTAGAATCGATAGTTAGTGGGTTGCCATGTCTGATTTACTGTGAATGATTTAGTGTAAATGATTTGATGTGAATGATTGCTCGTCAAGGCTTATGACATGCCAGTGACGAAACCTTTGTCGATATATCTGGCTGTGGGACAGATATCAGGTAGAAGTGAATTCATGATTTTGCCCAGTGAACATTATCAATCTCTGCAAAAGAGAAGTAGGACATAAAATCATTTTAAGGAAAGAGTCAATAAAAAGGAACAGAGTTAAGAAGAAAAGAGAAAAAAAATGAGAGCGAAAGTGAGGGAAAGAGTAGATAAAGAGAAATAAAAAGAAAGAGAAAGAGAAAAAGAGGGAGAGAAAGAAAAGGTTAATAAAAGGCAAGGGAGAGAGAGAGTGAGCGAGAGTAGAGAGGAATAAAGAAAAAATGAGAGAAAATAAAGAAAAATAGTGCAAAAGATAGAGATGAAGACTGAGAAAAAGGGAAAGAGATTGAAGGAGAATTATAGAGAGAAAGGGAAATGAGAAAGGAAGCGAATAATAAAAAAGAGAAAGAGAGAGAGAGAGAGAAAAAGAAAGAGAAAAGTGACATAGATAGATAGATAGATAGATAGACAAAAGAGAAAGGTGAGAGTGAGAAGGAAATGTACATGGGAAAAAAGAGAAAGGCAAACGTAAGAGAGAAAGAAAGAGAAACAGAAAGAGAGAAAATTAAAGAGAAAAAAGGAACATAGTAAAAAAGAAAAACAGAAAAGTGAAAAGAGAGAAAGAGAAATGTGACTGAAAATGAAAAATTCATAGATAGATAGATAGATAGATAGAAAAGTGAGAGTAAGAAGGAAATGTACATAAGAAGAAAGAGAAAAAGCGGGAAAAAGAAACGTAAAAGAGAAAGAAAGAGAAACCGAATTAAACAAAAAAGAAATAAAGAAAGCGAAATAGATAGGGAGAGAAAAAGAGAACTCGAATAGTGTCAGAGAATGAAAGATTCATAGATAGATAGATAGATAGATAGATAGAGAGAGAGAGAGAGAGAGAGAGAGAGAGAAAGAGAACAGTGAGAGAGAAAGAAAGAGAAACAGAAAGAAAGAAAAAGAGAATACTCAATAAGGAAAGCGAGAGAGAGAGAGAGAGAGAGGGGAGAGAGAGAGAGAGAGAGAGGGGAGAGAGAGAGAGAGAGAAAAGAAGGAAATAAAAAGTGAGAGAATAAGATAAGTATTAATAATGGCTATTTAGAAAAAGAAAGCAGACGCGACCCCGTCTGGTTCTGGACAAGAATTTGCTCGGGCAAAAAAAAAAAAAAAAAAAAAGAAATTATAAAATCAGTAGACAGCAAGGATTGGCAACGAACAAAAGTTTTCTATGCTGCCGAGAATAGTGAAGAGATGGTCAGCGCTTAAAGAAAGGAATAAGAAGTTGTAGCGGCGGTCAAGAGGCGATGATAAACATCTTCGAATATTCTACCATTTACACGGTAAAGTGTCCACTGGTCTTTGTGCTAATGGTGCAGAGAGCAAACTAAAATTCTCATAAGAGGGCGTTGAAAAATGAGAAAGAAAAACACTCTTCCACTCTGTCAGTATGTCTTCCACTCTCACGCTCTCTCTTGGGTGGACTGCTTTTGGAAAACATAAGGTATGCTGAAATAAACATCAATACCAATCCACACTAAAACGAAGATATATATTATATACAGTTTTTTTATATGATTTAAATTCTTCTTTTTTTTTTTTTTTTTTTACAATATTGTTTACCCTGTAGAAGGCCCGGGAGCCACTCAGATTAGAAGAGTAACAGTAAAGATATAATTTTCGAGAATATGCGGGAAAAAGTAACGGTTAGCCTTAGACTTGAACAGGTTAAGAGTGTAGTGATCAAGGAAACATCCTCTTGGGAGTCGGTTCCATAATGTAGTGGTTCGTGGGAAGAAGCTGCTCGATTGAAATATGGAAAGAATGATGTGTTTCACTACAATATGCATAGCATGGAGGGTCGTATCCATGAAGGTTAGAAATGGTGGAAACTAAGGAATGTAGTTCGACTGAATACTTTCTATAGAAATAACAATAGAGTAGCGATAGGTTTGCAACGTTTCGCCTGTGGGAAAGGGGTTGTAGGGTGGGAAATAATTCAACACCCACAAAACCGCGTAGCCTCAAAAACATTCAGCACAAACTGAAACATTTCCAAGCCACATGATGCACATCATTACAAAATGAAAGTGAAAATAACAAAATGAAAATAACCAGTCTTAGAAATGTAACCAATTCGATACAATTCTTAGTGTGGTGTAAAAAAAAATAAATTTAGTTATAATAATAATAATAAACAGACTAAACATCGATGTCAACAAACTAGACAATAAAAGCATCCGTGAAAACATCATAGATTAAACGTTAACATCGAGGGGCTAAATACAAACAATGAAGAGGAGATACATGCAGAGGAGCAAATAGAAACCAATTGTAATAATCCTTTTGTGGTACACAAGAAAATAGAGGAAGATGACGAATATGAGAGAGAAATAGAGATGACAAGAACATCCGCTATAAATCGGAGAATGTAAAAGAAATGTCTTTCAAGGAAAGGCCGACAATTCCAAAATTAAGAAAGAAACGTCAAGTAAAAAAAAACCCAAAAAACCATCAATCTTGCTAACCAAGCAATTAGAAAATAAAATAAGGAACGAAATGGAAAGATCGATGAATCTAACAGAAATTAATCATCTTATATACCCAACCTCGGTAACGATCGCAGAAACAACAGGTGAAAAAGCAAAACCCCAACGTAAACAAAAAAGAAAAATGCCAGTCTGGAAAGAAAATATAGAACCCCAAATAAATAAACTACGAGGACAATTGGCACTTCTAAGTTAAGTAGACAAGGGCTCTAAAATGAAAGAAAGAAAAAGGAGACAACTGAAACGAAGCCTTGACATAAAGAATAAGACTGACGTACCAAAAGTTAAAGAGAAGCTGGAACAATAAATTCAAGCGAAGGCACAGAGAATCAGGCGTTATGAAAAAAAGAAACAGATTCTTCTGGCAAAACAAGATCTTCAAAAGAGATGCCAAGAAACAATACAGAGAACTTGGAAAAAATAAAATAGAGGTAAATGACCCACCTAATATCCAGGAAGTCGAGGAGTTCTGGTGTAGGATGTGGGAACAAATGCAAAATGCACATTGTAAGAGCTACATCGCTCAAGCAACAAAAACAAGAACAACACACGCATATAGAGTGCCAAAAATGGATAGATATCAATATTACTGAAACAACCGCTGCCATCTGCAAAACCAAAAACTGGAAAGCACCGAATAGCCAATTTTTGGATAAAAAAAAAACCTAACACCCAACAAGACCACGCACGGGATTACAATGGTATAATCATAAACCCTAAAGAATGCCTCGAATGGCTCACGGGGGGAGTAACATACTTACTCTCCAAAACAGAAGAGACGCAGAACCCGAAGAACTATAGGCCCATCACTTGCCTACCAACAATGTACAAGATCTTCATTTCTATCATAACCGAGATGGCATATAACTTCCTTGAGAAAAATAATTTACTCCCAGCAGAACAGAAGGGATGTAAAAGAGGAAGTCACGGGTGCAAGGACCAACTAATTATCAATAAAACAATATTGGAAGGGGTGTAAAAAAATGAAACGCATCGACAGCATTGATCGACTACAGAAAGGCGTTCGACAGTGTTCCACACTCATGGGTAAAGAAGAGCCTAAAAATATACAGAGTATGCCCAACAATGATCAAATTCATAACAGAAAGCATGAAAAACTGGAAGACTACACTAAATCTAAAGCATACAAACTGGTCATTAACATCGAGACCAATTTAGTATCAAAAGCGGGATCTTCCAAAGAGATTCGTTGTCACCATTTTTCTTCTGCCTTGCATTAGCGCCACTCAGCTGCCTATCGAACAACAGTAGCCATGGATGCAAGACAGAATGGCAAACTGAATTTTTTTTATTTTATATTGATGACAAAACTTTTGCCAAGGATGACAACCAACAGAAAAACCTACTCACCATTGTCAAAACCTTAAGCGAAGACATTCGGATCGAGTTCGAAATCGACAAATGTGCCAAAGTCACCTTCAAAGACGGTGAACTAACGAAAATTACAGATTTAGACCTTGATATCAACATCAAAATTAAGGAACCAAACCAAGGTACATACAAATACTTAGCAATTAATGAAGATGACGGAATACAACATACAATTTTGAAGAAATAGATCCGAAAAGAATATTATAGGAGAGTGCGTTTGATACTAGAAAGCAAACTAAATGGGACCAATAAAATGAAAGCTATCAACACTTTAGCTATATCCGTAGTAATATACAGCTTCAACATTATTAAACGGAAGTTGAATGACATTAAAAGATTGAACGCCAAGACCAGAAAAATGCTGACCCAAATGAGGATGCATCACCTGAAATCAGACGTTGATAGGCTCTACGTACCAAGATCTTTAGGGGGCTGAGGTTTACTCAAACTTGAACTAACTTTAATAAATACAACAATAAAATTGGAAGCATACCTCACAAAAAACAATGACCAAATAGTAAAACACCAAATCCACTCCACCACCAAAGAAGCTGCACTCTGAAATCCTACCAACAAAAAACCAAGCGAATACGAACTATGCCAAACAAGTAAAGCAGAAAGCAAAACAACTTGGCCAAATGAAATTACAAAACTGGGAGGACAAGGCGTTGCATGAAAAATGCCTAAAAAGAGCGAAAAAAGCAGATGTGGACCAACATAAAACATATCAGTGTCTGAAAACTGAAACAGCAGGCCTAATGATTGCAGATCAGAACCAAAGCCTCGCAACCAGATCCTATTACTGTCACATAATCAAGGATGGAACTAATCCGAAATGAAGTATCTGCGAAAAATATGATGAAACTGTCGGCCATATTATCTCAGGATGTCCGGAACTGGCAAAAAATGAATATACCCATAGACATAAAGTAGCGACATGTGTGCACTGGAAGATATTCAAGAAGCACGAAATCGAAACCACTGAGAGATGGTATGATCATCAACCATACACAGTTACCCAAAATAACGATGTAACTATCCTATGGGACATGCCATTTCGAACTGACAGGGAAATAAAAGCCAACAGTGCTGATATTATCGTGACAAGAAATTTAGGACGCGTCTGCTTATTGACATAGTAGTACAATCTGAGATAAATACCCCCATAAAAATTATCGAAAAATTGTCCAAATACAAGGAACTGGAGATCGAGATTAACAGGATGTGAGGAATGAAGACTGAGACACTAGTAATCGGAGCTCTGTGTCTCGTGAGGAAAGGAATGGACAATTTTACTAACAGTGTCCCAGGTAACATCAACATATAGTTTCCCAGAAGATCCACCCTACTAGGAACATCCCATATTCCAAGGAAAGTGCTATGAATTAAATGACAATTCTCCTTTAGGGCCTAAGGACCTTAGTTTGGACCCGGGTCTACACGATACAAAGCACAAAACATGCACAAATAATAATAATAATAATAATAATAATAACAATAAACGCGGAAAATAAGTTAAAACAGTACAGGTTCGTAATAATGAAAATGGATAAGTACAGAATGAAAGAACAACGGGTAGGTCCATGAAGGTAGTTGTTATTGGTTAGTCCTTACTTCTCAGACTAACCCTCTTTTTACACTACATAAATGATTTGCCTAAGACTATACTCCGATCATTTGTGAATATCTATGCTGATGATACAATAATATATAGGTGAACGTCCAAAACACATGATGACCAGAGATTGGCAACTGATCTCTCTTCTGATCTAACTCTA